TTATCCTCAAACGACAACATTAACACATGCCGACATATCTCTAAATATTTTGAAAATTGCTGTTTTTAACCCTTCCCATTATGTAGTTAAATCAATTGAAACAATTATATTTTTTAAGATATTTATTAAAAGAATATAAAATTACAGATAAAGTAGGATATTTTCTCTTAGTGACCAAATAACATAACAAAATCTAGATATGAGACGCAATTAAAATACATCTCAAATATAGATTTTTTTAACGTTATGTTATGTGTCAGTTTACACTTTTTTAAAAATTGCACTTTTATAAGTAAAAAAAATATCCAATTGTACGTAACTTTGACATAATTTTGATAATTTGTTTTTGGTGGCAAATTTTAAATATAAATAAATTTGAAGTAACCAATATAATAGGCTTACTTAAATACAAAGTTTTATCATCCTACGACAAAATTAATGCATGCTGGCAGAACTCTGAAGATTTTGAAAATTACTGTTTTTAACCCTTTTTGTTATGTAACTAAATCAATTCTACAGCTTGCGGCCCGGACAACATACCTGTTATAGTCTTGCAGAAGTGTTCTCAGGAGCTGTCGTCTATCCTTTCAGTCTTGTTTTCCAGCCTGCTGGAAAGCAGCATCTGTTATCCCTATTTTTAAAAATTCTGAAAAGCAATCCGATTCGTCTAACTACTGTCCCATTAGTCTTCTTCCTATCATAAGAAAGGTTTTTGAATCTTTAATTAACAAACACTTAATCTCTCATCTCGAATCTCATAACCTACTTTCTGATCATCAATATGGATTTCGATCTTCTCGTTCTACGGCTGATTTGCTAGCAGTAATAACCGATAGGTTTTATTGCGCATTAGATAAAGGCGGAGAGGTTAATGCCATTGCTCTTGACATTTCTAAAGCATTTGATAAAGTTTGGCATGTTGCCATAAGCTTCTTGGCATGTTGCCATAAGCTTCTCTTCTTCTTGGCATGTTGCCATAAGCTTTCTTCTTACGGTGTATCTGGAAACATCTTTAAGATTATTGAATCCTTTCTTTCCAATCGTAGTATAAAAGTTGTCCTTGATGGACAGCACTCTTCTTCTTATTCTGTAACCTCAGGGGTTCCTCAAGGTTCAATTCTTGGCCCTATACTCTTTTTAGTTTACATTAACAATCTTCCAGATATTCTCACATCTAAGGTGGCATTTTTGGCTGATGGTACTACCATTTATTCTTGTCACAATAAGAAGCCAACTCTTTCTGGTTGCTTGCAGGGGGCATCTGAGCTTGAAAAGGATCTCACTTCTGCTACAGCATGGGGCTCACAGTGGCTGGTGAACTTTAATTCAGATAAAACTAAAATTTTTTTGGCCAATTGTTATCGCAATAGTTCAGACCTTCCTATATTTATAAATGGTAATGTACTCGATGAGTCTCCTACCCTTCATCTTCTAGGATTAACTCTTACTTCTGATCTTTCTTGGAAACTTTATATCAACTCCGTTGCAAAATTAGCATCTGCTAAAGTTGCTTCTCTTTATCGAGCTCGTGACTTTCTTACTCTAGGTTCTATTCTCTATCTCTATAAATCTCAAATCCGGCCTTGTATGGAATACTGTTGCCATATCTGGGCCGGATCTTCTAATGATGCCCTTTCTCTTTTAGACAAAGTGCAAAAACGCATTGTAAACATAGTTGGACCTGCTTTTGCAGCCAACCATCAACCTCTGTCACATCGTTGTAATGTTGCTTCTCTTTCTCTTTTCTACAAACACCATAATGGGCACTGCTCTAAAGAGCTAGCGTGGTTGCTTGCAGCCTTGTTGGAAGCAAAGATAATTAAAAAAAAAAAAAAAAAATTGAGTTACTTTTATTTTATAAAATATTTATTAAAAGAATATTAAATTACAGATCAAACAAGATATTTTTTTTTAAGGGTCTGTTTTTTACAGTCTAGATACAGATTTCTTGGCTCTTACACACAGCATAGCAAAAATTGCTTTTGTTCTTTAATAGCAATGATCAAACAATGAAAATCTTTAATAAGTTTTACAGTTCTTTTGATTGCATCATTAACTGCATTTAAAGAAAAAATTTTCTTTTTGCCTCTATATAGACAACATCTTTATCCCACGTTAAAACGGGTCTCTAGAGGAAGTTCTCATTATTTTTTAATCAAGAAAATAAATTTATGCTCTTGACAAAATCAAAATGTTCATTTGCACAAAATCACAAAAGCACAAAATTGTTTTGCACAAAATCAAAATGGTCATTTATCCCTGGCACTAATTTCGATCTGGGATTGCAAGAAACATATCCATAAAGAGTAAATAGCTCTAGCCATTCCCTTGCTTAATGCATTGCTCCAAGAGGTCTGATTTTTTTTTTTCTAATTATTAACTTCTAAGAAATTAAAAATTAATTCCCAATAATCATCACGTACAATAGTTTTGATTATGAAATGACAACAATTCTTTAAATGTTATATTACTAAATGTTGTTTGACGATATCAGTGTATGTTTCAATAGATGCCAGATTAGTAGTTTTCTAGTTGTCTCTAAACTTTTTGAACATTGGGATATCAGGGCTACTTGTGATTTTGTGGATTTTTGTTTCAAATACACATTTTAAAAACAGTTCATATATGTGATGGCGGCAAGCAAAAAATAATAATTCCCTGTTTAGTTTTTGCTTCAAAAATACACTAGTTTCTTTTAATGACTCTGTATTATAATCCTTTTTGCCTAAAATGTGATAAAGTTCTTCCTTCTTCTTTTTGTTATAGTTTCACTTATTATTTGAGAGGTTGACGGTAACGGTTCCTCAGGGCTTTCCTGTAGTAACAAATGACGAAAAACTAACTTAAAACATTTTCTTATGTCTTTTTTTTTTTTTTCTTTTAATTTTCTCAGTCTTGTCCTTTTTTCTTTTTTGGCTAAGTTTTTGTCTATAAAAAATTAACTGAAAAAGAATCCTGTACTCCTTGGTTCTCTTTGTTTATGTATTTTTATCCATTCCAAAGCACCAGCATGTTTTACATCAAATAAATTATCTAATTTGTTTAAAAATTCTCATCACGGTTCTTGTAAATATCTTGTTTTTTTTTGGATTTTTTTTTCTCTCACCAAACATGATGAAGATCTACAAGTTTTTTTACACAGTTAGGTTTAGCTCTGGTCAGGATTCTAACATTTTCCCAAAATACAATACACTCTTGATTTTAACTCTTTTTTTAACATGCGCAAATGTTAAAAAAAAGTACTGCAAGAACTTGATGGTTAGACGGTAGCTTTACGCCTGTTATTTGATAATTCTTGTCACCAACTGTGATAAAAAATTTTATTTATTGCTTTCAAATTTCTTAAAAATAAAATGTCTTAGTCATGAGAATAACTAAATTTTTCTAAAAATGATTTGCTTATTATAATATAATTGCGGATTTGCTTAAAGCAGTTTTTACAATGTTGCAAAATTGATAATAACTACCTATTTATAATTATTGCAAGTAGATAATTATTATCTATTTACTATTATCAATTGGTATCGAATTATTATAATAACTATCGAATTATAATAACTATTTATTAATTTTTTGTCATAGTAAAAACCACTTTGCGCAACTTGTATGAACATGATTCAATGCAAGTTGGCACGGGCTGTTGTACCCCAATTAATGTAAAAATTTATTTTCGAGTGTTTTAGAAGCAAATGAACAAAACTAAGACCTATGCATTAGAAAATAAAAACTTCGAAAAATAAGAGACACCATAATATATATATATATATATATATATATATATATATATATATATATATATATATATATATATATATATATATATATATATATATATATATATATATATATATATATATATATATATATATATATATATATATACATACATATATTGCAATATCAAAAATGGCTTCTTTTCAATTAGACGACAGTAAAGGAAGGAAAAAAATTACTTTAACTTTTAATTAAATTTAGATGTTAGAGCAACATTATTTTGCTATTCAAGCTAATATTATATATATATATATATATATATATATATATATATATATATATATATATATATATATATATATATATATATATATATATATATATATATATATATATATATATATATATACATATGTATATATTGGAAACCATATATCAAATCCGTTGCAATGATAACATCTGCTAAAGTTGCATCTCATTATCGAGCTCGACACTTTTTTATTCTGGATTCTATTGTCTATCTCTATAAATCTCAAATCCGGCCTTGTATGGAATATTGTTGCCATATCTGGGGCAGATCTTCTAATGATGCCCTTTCTCTTTTAGACAAGGTGCAAAAACGCATTGTAAACATAGTTGAACCTGCACTTGCAACCAAACTTTAACCATTATCAAATTGTTGTAATGTTGCTTCTCTTTCTCTTTTCTACAAATACTATAATGGGCACTGCTCTAAAGAGTTAGTGTCTCTTGTGCCATCTACTAAAATTCATTCTCGTGTTACTCGTCATTCAATTAAGTCTTATCCTTTTTCTGAGACTGTTTCTAAGTGCTCCAAAAACTCTTATTCATCTAGTTTTTTTTTCGAACATCAGTTCTTTAGAATTGGCTTCCTTCATCTTGCTTTGCTGATTCATATAATTTGCAATCTTTTTAGTCTTCTGCCAATTGTTATCTTTCTCTACTAACTTCATCTTTTCTTTTCCAGTAACTTAATTAGTGGTTGCTTGCAGCCTTGTTAGAAGCGAAGATGTTTAATATATATATATATATATATATATATATATATATATATATCAGGGGCTATTCGATTAAAAAAATTTGGCCAGTGGTACCCCTTCCATCAAAGAGAATTTTGGCGGAAAATCAGCATTACAATGTATTTTAACACCCAAAAACGTCATAAAAAGCAACAGTATTTGGGCACCCAAATTGGCGCCCAAATACTGTCAGCGCTGTCAAAAATGGTCTAGAATAGCCCCTGATATATTTATTTGTTATTTTAGTAATTACCTTCAAAAAGATTTTATTCCACATCTAAAATGTGTAACAATGTTTAGTTCACCACATGAGTTTCACAACTTTGTTGTTAATAATGACATTATGTTTATTATTGGACTTCATATTTTTCACACTGGGCCATTTTTGAGAGGTACCTAATAATTTTTTTATTTATATTTTTATTTTAAAATTTGTTTGTGTAACTTGAACCCTATGCCACCTTGCTATAATATAGAAGACAAATGCTTTTTGTAAATAAAAAATTATCATCATTATCATCATCACCATCATTATCATCATCATTATCATCATCATCATCATCATCATCACCATCATCATTATTTCTTTCAATTCATGTTTTAGATTGCAATATTCCATTCATGATAATATTTGGCGGTACTGATGTAAACTGCAAGCAAAGCAATGAGTCAGTTTATGAGGAAATGAAACAGGTTTTGTTATTAGCCAGGTAGGTTAAAGATGAAGTCATTATTATTATGTTATGTTATATAATATACTCTAGGGCATGTTATAATATACTCTAGGCCATTCAACTTAGCTAGAGAAGAAAACTAATAAAATCCGCAAAAATAATTGTGACTAAGAGCAGGAAGTACTATGAACAAAATGAGAAAATTACTTGTAAACAAATAATATTTCTAATGATCACAATCAAAACACTCAGTCCTGATATGTAAAATACATTAAAAGGCAAAGTGGGCTAAAAATTGAATCTAAATCTTCTATAATGCCATATTTAATTTAAATAAGAAAATGTATGTATATATATATATATATATATATATATATGGGTGTTTAGATAAGCAGATAAGCTTATCTAAAGTCTGATGTCATACTTAAATAGCCTGCTGCTGGAGGCCAAATCTGAAAAAGCTGTACAGAATTAAGTAATTAAAAAAAAGTGTTCATCTTTTTATAGTATGAATTCCAATTTTAGGAGGTATTAAATCTTTAGTACCTCCTAAAATATGACATTTAATAGTAATAGTAAACAGTTTTTTATTGTTTTCAGAAAATATTGGTTTTAAATTTTTATACTGAATAATACTTTAAACAAAAATAATGATAACTATTATAAAATGATAACTCATTATTTGTATAAATTTCAAGGGAAAAACTATTTAGTGTGGATGTGCACATTCTTTTTTTTAATTATATGCTAATTACTTGTTTATACTTAATTAGCTTTTATAGATATACAGTGTAAATACACTGTATTTACACTGTATATCTATAAAAGCTAATTGTAAGTGTTGTAAAAATGGTTTTAAAACCAGTATGAGTAACCTCAATTTTTCTTTCCCACTCTTGATCTTAGTGAAAACAAGAAGAAGAATGAAAATTTAATAACAAAAAATTTTTTCCTTTTTTTATTTTATAGAGTTTAATTAATTTGTTTAGATGTTTTATTCAAATTTAATTAGTTTTAAAGTAAATTTAAATTTTAAAAGATATCTTTAAAGAGTTTAATATATATAATTAAGTAAAAATTTCTACTATGGATGTAACTCTATATAAAAAAAACCCCGTTAAAAACAAAACAAAGACCTTCCAGGCTTTTATAACCATTTTCTACAAAAACATCAATTAGAAATAATAATTCTGGGATTATTCAGCATTAGCAGAACATTCAAAAAATTGTCATGGTAATTTTGGATGGAACAATAAAAATACTTTAAAAGTAGATAACTTTAACAGAAAAGTGAGTAAAGGCATTTGAAATACAATGCCATGAATGTGCACCTTCAGATGGCAGTCTGAATCAGGATGATGGAGGTTATGTCATGGCTTCCTTTTGGAAACCTATCTTTAGATATTTGAATCAAAAGAAACTTTGCATTGATTTGTTTTTGTTTTATTTTTAACAGGGTTTTTTTATATTTATATTATACTTGATAACAATACTCGCTTGAAATATTGTAAAAATAATAATTAAAAAAAAAAGAATTACATCCATAGAAGTTTTAATTTAATTATATTTTTAAAGTAATTTTTTTTAGGTTTATTATTTATATATTAAAACTTTAATTTAGTTTAATTTTATAAATTTAGATACTTGGTTGCTTTCACTGTTACTTTAAAGTTTAAAGCTTTAGAACTTTGGGTGAGTATTTTTATTAAATCTATTGAGCTGTATACTCAGTTATACACATAAAATTAGCTTGTAGTTCTAATTCCCTAAAAATGCCATGCATGATCAGCAGAAGTAACATGTCTGTGCATTTTTATGCTTGTGCAGCACCCTTCAATGTTGTGTTTTGGAGGTTGAGAGAGATATAACAGAAAATAAGAAAAAATAAAGTTAATAAAAATAAAGTTAATAAAAATTGTAAAGTAATGTAATGGGAATTAATAAAATATGTAATAAGAAAGTCCAAAGTTATGGTGAATCTTAGTTTCTGTTTATTTAATTTTGTTTTTAGCCTGACTTAAAAGCTCAAGATATTTTTATCCTTTCTCAAGGTAAATTTTCTATTTATACAAGTTTTTGATTGATTTAAACTTTGTTTTTCTTTTCAAGTCATGTGTCATTAAAAATTTTAAATAGAAAAAATCCTTAAAACATTTTGATTATTCATAGACTAAATAATTACAATTTAAAAATTTAAAATTGTAAAAAATGTGTACTTAAACAGGCTTGATGAATGACAAACAAGAATGTTTCGTGATAATAATGTTATGGTAAAAATTATTTTTCACTATTTGTATTATTAATTATCATTTGTCTAAAAAAAGGTTTTCACTCAGACATTTTATGATGCATGAAAAATGAAGCTGAACTAAAAAAAAAAAATAGAGACCTTTTATTAGAGAGATTAGCAATTTGAGATTTATTTAACATCCTGGAGCATCCAGAAGAATTTTATTTAACATCCTGGAGCATCCAGAGAAATTTTATTTAACATCCTGGAGCATCCAGAGGAATTTTATTTAACATCCTGGAGCATCCAGAGGAATTTTATTTAACATCCTGGAGCATCCAGAGGAATTTTATTTAACATCCTGGAGCATCCAGAGGAATTTATTTAACATCCTGGAGCATCCAGAGGAATTTAATTTATTTAAAATCCTGGAGCATCCAGAGGAATTCATTTAACATCCTGGAGCATCCAGAGGAATTTAATTTATTTAACATCCTGGAGCATCCAGAGGAATTTATTTAACATCCTGGAGGAATTTAGCAATAACAAATGTCAAATAAAAAATTGGCACAAAAGGTTTTTTTAATAAAAATTTTTTCAAAAAAATTTTTTTATAAAAATAAAATTACAAAAGTCAATAAAGTTCAAAACAAAATTTGTAATGTATTTGGTATTTTTATAGTCTTGTGTAATGTCTAAGCTAAATTTGTAAAACCTCGACATTCATTTTTTTCATCAAAAACCTCTACATTCATTTTTTTTCATCTAAAACCTCTACATTTTTACAAAAATCTCTACATTTTTTTCAGGCAATACCTGATCTCGGTTTCTTGTTGATAAACACTGTTAACAGTAGAGTTGTTTATGTGTGCTACTTGTTTAAGAATGGCCCTAAAATCCTTAATATGGTATGGCTTAATAAGTCTTGATGAAGAAATCAGGTTAAAACCATATTAGCCATTGCTATAGTGTTCTAATTGTATTCCATTTTTAGATCAATGTCTAATCTTTCTAGCTTTAATCCAAAGCCAGAAAAAATTAACAATGTGTTCTTTTGATCTGGCTTGTAAATTTTTTTTGTAAAAAACTTAATACAGTTCAAGATGTCATGTGAAAAGTCTTTTCTTCATAAATAATTTGGGACATGATGATACAGTATATTCAAAAATTTGTTGCACCAAAAAACTCTGCAAGTTCCTTTAACTAGCCAATTACTTTGCTAGATCACTTATTTTCCTTGCACTGTTGATTTTTCTGACTAGATTATAGACTGCATCTTTCACTCCTAGAGTAATAAGTTTGTTGTACTTTTATTTCTGAAGTTTTACAATCTGCTTTCTCATGCATTTTAACATGAAATTACGAAATATGCATTCTCATGCAATTTAACATGAAAAGTCAGTATTTTTTAGCTTTTAAATGATTTTTTACAGTGTTTGCATTCAAAAAAAATCCAACAGCTTGTAATGACAATGGAATTGTCATCTCTTCTTCTCTGTGCATAACCTTTTTAGTAAAACCAAATGCTGCCAAGTTATCTAAAAAATAAGAGTTTGTCGGACAATAAAATTTTAATATTGTATTAAACTGCATAATAAGAAACTACAGAGAAAGAGAGAGAACACATCAAATAGCACATCAACACTACAGAGAAAGAGAGAGAACACATCAAATAACACATCAACACTACAGAGAAAAAGAGAGAACACATCAAATAACACATCAACACTACAGAGAAAGAGAGAGAACACATCAAATAACACATCACTACAGAGAAAGAGAGAGAACACATCAAATAACACATCAACACTACAGAGAAAGAGAGAGAACACATCAAATAACACATCAACGCTACAGAGAGGGAGCACATCAAATAACACATCAACACTACAGAGAAAGATAGAGAACACATCAAATAACACATCAACACTACAGAGAAAGAGAGAGAACACATCAAATAACACATCAACACTACAGAGAAAGAGAGAGAACACATCAAATGGCATGAAAGTTAGTATTTTAGTAAATATTAAATTCTCCTGTTCTAATATAGAAGTTTATGTTATGCTATGTAATGATTTTATATAGTCAATGTGTTGCAAAACATAAACATGAGCTTTTGGTATGTTGATCTAAATGCTTTAATTAAAAAAAAAAAGTTTAAAATTTAAATTAAAAAAAAAACTTGACTATTTAAATAATTTTCATGCATTAAATAAGTGCTATGAAGAATCCAAATAAAAATAGAAAATGTAATGAGCAATATGCTGATTATCCTTATCAAAATCTGAAATAGTAATGCTTCTGGTTTTATGCTTTTATAAAATCTTTTTTTCATAAAGTTTGCACTTACAAATTTTTAAATTTATAAAATTATTTTCTCAAAAAAAAAGAAAAAGTTGTTATTACCATGACCAAGACCAAGTCAATTGCTGCAAGCTTTATGTCAAGTTTAGGCATTTAAACATTTTTTATTGTAATCAGGTTTTTAAACAAAAAATCTTTTGTTAAAAAACAGTAATATTATTGTTAAGATTGTTCTTACAAGCAAAAGCAAAAACCAAAAACCAGTTAGTTAAAAATATTTATGTTATTAGGCTGAGTAAGAAAGCTGTAATGATAAACTTATAGAAAGCTCTTCATAATATTTTTTGATAATAGCAAAAGAAATACGAGTTCACAAAATCATTTGATCTCATCCAAACTTCTTACCAAATAGGGTTGCATATATTCTTACCAAATAAGGTTGCACATGTTCACACCAAATAGGGTTGCACATGTTCTGTACGATGTTGTTTGGTTTTAGTGTACCTGTTTAATCGGCTATGTCAGATTTTTTTTGTCAATATAAATTGGATAAATGAGTTTAAAAATATGATAAAATTTTGAGCAAATAAATGCAAATTTTAAAAAAATCTAAAGAGTTTTATGCATACAGTTTCATACTTGCTATGTAGTATAGTTAAATACTGTTGCTGGAAATAAGTTTACTAAATTAAATATTTAATATGTATTGAAACTTATTTTAGGAGTGACTACAAATCCATGTACATATACATTCAAGCAGTTATTTTTAGAGAACAAGGTGACTATTCAATATTTTTATAAAAATGATTTTCCTGTAAATTTTGCTATATATATATATATATATATATATATATATATATATATATATATATATATATATATATATATATATATATATATATATATATATATATATATATATATATATATATATATATTGTTATTGTTTTATTTGTTATTCACTTCTTCAAGGCCGAGAGGGCTACTACCTTTTCCTCAAAAAATTGGAACACTCGAGTGAGATGAAACAAAAATTTCATATCATCTCTCTAGCCTGATGTTTTGCGAATTAGTTCTGTTCCGTTATTAAACTGTATTTTTTTTTGTTGGTTTGTATCTCAACTGTTGTCCTTCAACAGTTGAGATACAAATGGATATTCAATGTTTGGCGATTGTGTTTTACTTCCAAGTTCTTCATCCAACACCAAACAGAGGATTAATAACTAATACATGGTGTTGACAACTGATAAACTGTGGTTTGTTGATATGTTTCTCTGTGAACATTCATTACAATATTACAACAACACCATTCTTTTTTCCAGTGCCAACGCTAGTGGTATCTGCAAAAATCATCTGTATTGAACTCCATAGGTGAAATTCATCAAGGACTTAAGGAATTCCTTGAGCAATAGTTAAAGCTCTTCCATCTACCAAGCCAAGGTCATCCAATTTGATTTCTCTTCTTTCATTTTTAAGGATGACCACTTGATAATCCATTCTGTCAATGTGCTTGCCATCAAAGTGTAAGGACCAACTTTCCATATGCAACTTTTCAATCATTTCTTCATTCAGCTTGATTGTCTCTTAGATTGTTGACTTGTAAATATCTGATTGACATGGAGTTGGGGTGTCAATGCCTTTGCGAGCCAATTGCTTGCATATGTTAGCAGCTTTGTTTGTTGATACTCTAGTGGAGGTCACCAAGTTGACTACAATTTTGCTTTTATGATGTTTTCTACTTGGTGTAGGAGTTATCTCATCTTCTTCTTTATTGTTTTCTTATTCACTGTTGTCAGCCTCTGTCAGAATCACTAAAACCAGGATAGTAAGATGATGATGAGTTGGATGACTCTATAGGAAGTTTTTGTCTTTTAGAGAGATAGATTGTTACTTTACTGGCCGCTTGGCCTGTAGAGTATCCCTCTGTTCCTTTGCTATCCACTTGAAGATGGTACAATCGCTTGTTCTCAGAAGATAACCATGTGCCATCCACTTTACTAATATCAAAAATTTCATCAAGGGGTTAATAGCTTCCCGGTTGACACATTCATCATAACATTTCACTATTTTATCAAGCTTTGCCTATATAACTTGATCAGATACATGAGGAAAATTCAGTTTATTTTTCCACAATTTGGTGACCTTGCGAGTCAGGCTATTTGTCAGTCGATGTAGCAGCACTCCGTTGCGAGTCAGGCTATAAGATAGTTGATGTAGCAACATTTCCTTGTAGCAGCAGGCTATAAGATAGTCGATGTAGCAACACTAACGCATGTTTTAAAAATGTTTTTTTAATAAAACAAAAACAAAAACACTATTAATTAAAATGTACATATTGAAAAAAATATTGTAGAAAAAATTTACAGTACTATTGAATTTTTAACATGTTTTTAAATTGTTTATTTTCTGTTTGTATCAGTTGCTTATTCTCTATCATATTTGTTGTACCAATTACAAGAGCAATCTTAAAGCAAATAGGCTATCGAGTTACTTAAATAGTAAATAATTAAATTTATTAAGTTTTTAGTATTACAGGTATAACAGAATTTAATTTTTTCTATTACACAGAATAAACTGTTAGTGAACAAGCTACAGCTGCTAGTCTGCCATATATAAAGGTTTGCAGAGAAACTGAAATATATTTTATAAAACATTTTCAAAAGTAAATTTTGAAAAGAAATATTTCAAGACCAATTAAAAAGTTTTGTGGAATGAAGCTTCCTTTAAAAGGTGATGCACTCTAAAGATTTTTACATATTATGTAAGCACAGACAAGTCTACAAACAAAGCCTTGAAATTGCTTGTTAAAGAAATTATAGAGAGTTGGGTCATGGCCGAAATTTTGACAATGGCAAATTATAATGTATTTCCAAAAGTAGAGAACAAATATTTATAATGGCAGAAAGGGAGCTCTCATGGATTCAACTCCCAGATTGAAAAGAAGAAAATTCAAAGACAAGTTTGATAACCTTTTTGACATACCCCATGCTAATGCACTTGAAATGATTACAATTAAAAAAGATCATGCATTTTTATTGGCACAGAGAGAGAAGGGTAAAAGGGGCTTCATGGCGGGAGAAAACAAAAAATAGCAATACAAGAAGCATGCAAACAACAGAAGAAAATTAAGTTAGACTATTGACAAAAAAAATAGAAAGAAGAAAGCAAAATGTTATGCATGTTCTGCGACTGCAGAGTAAGCATCATCAAGCAGTAGTAACAGCAGTGAAGAATTTTGGGAGAAGAAATAAAAAAAGATTGGGTACAAGCAATATCATTTGATACTACCAGCAGCAACACCAGTGTATATTTGGGTGCCTGTTCTTTAATTGAGTTGAAACTTGGATGCAATATTGTAAATTTTGCTTTCTTTCATTATATTATGGAAATTGTTGCAGAAAATGTTTTTGCTCTCCAGACATTTCACTGTTCAAGAGGTTCAAACAAAACTGGAAGTATGTTAATCAAATCAATTTTGAAGTCATGGATGATGCTGCCAAGGTTACCAATCATGATGAAATCTTTTATTTTGTCAGTGTCAACTCTACATGAAGCAGCCTAGAGATAGCTATCAGGAGTTGTTTGAACTCACAATACCTTGGTGGTGTTTATTTACTTTAGCAATACTCCTTCTTGCGGTAATCATTTCATACAACCTGGAGTACTCAATCGTGCAAGATGGATGGCTTGTATAATATATGCAATCAAGATAAGTCTATTTTGAAAACAATTTTGTATGTTCAAAACGAGAGCAGAATGGCATTAAGCAACATTTGCAGTTATTATTTATGTGCCTTCCTAGTTCACAGTGTTCTTTTGGCTGTTGCAGCACCAGCCAATGATTTGGAGTTTCTCAATGGAGTTTCTCTAGTTTAACAAATTACGGAGACAGGTCAATCTCTAAGGCAGCTAAACAACCTAACAGCTATAACAGCTAAACTTTACCAGACACTTTAGTAAATTAGTAAATTGATGGTATCACTTGCATTGTTTAATCAAGATACTTGTTTATCCAAAAAACAAAACATGATCAAAGCCCTAGATGTTGCAGGATCTGAACTTCCTCCAAAATGGGTGTTGGATTTTCACAAAAATTAAAGAAAAGACCTTGGCTAGCTTTGTCACTTCATCATTCTGTCATTTCTTTGAAATTCTTTTTTGACAGAAGATCCAAAAAAGCGGTGTCTTTTACAGGATCATTAGCGTGCCCAACGTTTCATCTAGGTGTTGAAAGTGGTGAATGATTGTGCATCCAAACAAAGAAAAAATATAAAATATAAAAAGATAAAATAATATTTACAATTCGTTATTCTTTAATGCAAAGTAAATTAAATTAATTATATAAATTCAGATATAACAAAATATCATAAAATTCTTATAAAAATAATGTTGAGGAAATTAATATTTTTAAACATCATCTAAAGCGTGTTTTGATAAGCATTTGCTCACTTTTTCTGCTTACCTTAAGCTATACCGTTTTTTTCAAAAAAGAAGAAGAAAAAACGAAGAATGATGAATGATTGCTTACCTTAGTACGCAATACTGTTTGTATATATGTATGTATGTATATATATATATATATATATATATATATATATATATATATATATATATATATATATATATATATATATATATATATATATATATATATATCAGGGGTGTGGAGTCGTAAAAAAAAAGTAACGCCTCCGACTCCAGTTGTTGAAATTTTTTGAGTACAATTCCGACTCCAACTCTGACTCCGACTCCAACTCCAAAGCAAAATTTTGGAAAAATTCTTTGAATTCTTTACAAAATATTGTGCAATAAGTTGAAATTTTTTTTTGACAAATTTATGCAACGTTCTTTGAGGTTTAGTATGAACATAAGGTTAATTGAATGTTTTGTACATACTTGTGCAATACTAAGAAATATTACTATATATATATATATATATATATATATATATATATATATATATATATATATATATATATATATATATATATATATATATACATGTATGTATATATGTATATATATATGTATATATATACATATATATATATATACATGTATGTATATATATATATATATATATGTATATATATACATATATATATATATACATGTATGTATATATATGTATATAATGCATATATATATATATATATATATATACATATATATATAAATATATGTATATATATAAATATATGTATATATATACATATATATATATATATATATATATATATATATATATATATATATATATATATTTATATATATATACATATATATATATATATATATATATATATATATATATATATATATATATATTTATATATATATATATGTATATATATGTATATATATATATATATGTATATATATATATATATAGATATACATATATATATATATATATGTATATATATACATATATATACATATATATATATATATATATATATATATATAAATATATATATATATATATATATATATATATATATATAAATATATATATATATATATAAATATATATATATATATATATATATATATATATATATATATATATATATATATATATATATATATATATAAAAGTTAATTGAATGTTTTGTACATACACGTGCAATACCAAGAAATATTACTATCGGTAATATTTCTTGGTATTGGAGTCTCTATATTTTTCAGTGACTCCGACTCTTGGAGTCGGAGTCGCTATATTTTTCAGTGACTCCGACTCCGCTAAAATTGTCGCAACTCCAACTCCGACTCCAC